ACATTATATATTATATTATTTGTATAATATATAATATAAATATTATAAACCATACATTTAATAAAGGGTCCTATATTCAGAATTTGAACTCATATTACTCAATAATAATTTTTAAAATCTACATACAAACCATATTAAAAACAGACAAAAGGTTTGAACAGATATTTCAGCAAAGGACACACAAGTCAACTAAAAATAACAAAAAAAATCTACAGCAGCACCTGTCATTACTAACTGAATAACACTAACTGAAGCCACAGTGAGCTGTTACTTCATACTCACAGCAGTAGGAGAATGACTGCAATAAAAAGACAACAAACGCTAGAGTGGACAAGGAAAAGCTATCAGTTGTGGGAATATAAAACAGTGCAGCCACTTTGAATAAAAGTTTGGCAGTTTCGTATAATGTAAATATAAATTTATAATACTCTCAAATTTTTCACTTCAAAGTATTCGCTCGAGAGAAATGAAAATGTCTAGAGTTCTTAGATGCATTATCAGAATAGCCCCCCAGGATGGAAATAATTCCAAATGATGAATAAACAAAATACAGTATATTCACATAATGGAATAGTATTTATCCATAAAAGGGAATGACAACGTACTGCTATATACTACAACTCAGACAAACCTCAAAGTAATCTAAATGAAAGGGACCAGTCCAAAAGGGCCATATACCATATGATTCTATTTATATGAGTAGCCAGAAAAAGGCAAACTTATGGAGATGGCAATCAGAATAGTGGTTACCTAGGTCCTGAAGTAGAAGTGAGAATCAATCATAAATGGAAACTACACTATTCTTTATTCTCTCTCTCTCTCTCTCTCTCTCTCTCTCTCTCTCTCTCTCTCTCTCTCTCTCTCTCTCTGTGTGTGTGTGTGGTACATGTGTGCCAAAGAAAGTGCTTGGAGGTCAGAGGAACTTTTAGGAGTTGGTTCTCACCTTCTGCCTTCTTTATGGCAGGGTCTTGCTTGTTGCTACTGCTAGACCACATAATTCAAGGTAGCCAGTCCAGGAGTTCTAGCCAATTTCCTGTCTTCACCTCCAGTGTCACTGTTGGAGGGCAGGGTTAGGAGATGCACATACAGATTCTGGCTTTTGGCATGGATTCCAGGGAATCTCAGGTAGTTAGTTAGGCTTGTAGGGCAAATGCTTCTCCTGAGCCTCCCTCCCAAAACACCTCTCAGACATTTCAGTTAATTAAAATATCCCAAAGCAAGACTGCGATGATATTGGTACAACTCTGAAATTTCATTAAAATTCACTGAATTATATACTTAAAACGGTGAATCCATGGCTCAGCAAGCCCATCCATTGACACTGCCTAAGGACAGAGCATTCCCACCCCCCACTGAGCAATGTTCCTTAAAGTGAAACTTTCTTCCCATTCACACCCTGCTGCTCACCAGGGGGTGTCACTCCTGCTGAGACCCTGGGCTTTCACCATAGCCCCTTGGAGTTATGAAAGGTAGGTCCAGATTCCAAGACTGAAGGCCAACCTGGCCTACATAGTGAGTGGCTTACACAGTGAGTCTCTGTCAAAAACAAACAAACAAACAAACCTCAAACAAAACTGTGAATCTGTCCTTCCAAGGGAGAGATGAGGAGGCTTGCAGGGAGGAAATGAGACACCCTCGCACATTCCTCTGCATCCCCTACCAACCTGCCAAAAAATACCTGCCATCCCCTGGAGTCTTACCAGTCCCTACACCCACAGTCCCAATGCCTATATGTCTGGCCTCCATCCCCAGCACTGAGAGATCTTCTGACAGAACGCCCTCTTCCCAGCCCTACCTCCTCCTCCTCGGTCGTGTTGTTCGGCTAGCCTTATCACCGCCTCACACATAAGTGGTTTTGGAGTGGCGAGACCCCTGAGTATGGACCGAAAGAGCCGCTGCATGCACCTACTCTCACAAATGTTTTTAGCGCAACAAGTCACGGGATCCACACTGACCTGTCGCGGCGAGAAAGTCCTCGCACAACAAGCGCCGCTTCGCGTCTGAAGCTGATTAAAGGATGGGACCACGTGCCCCCCCCCCCCCCCCCCCCCCCCCCCCCCCCAGCCCGGCCCCGCCCACCACAGGGCACGCCCCATCCCCAAGCCCCGCCCACGGCGCGCAGCAGTTAGCTTGGCAACTGGCGCGAAAGAAGAGCAGCGGGAACACCGAAGGCGTGTCCGTGTGTGCGCTGTGCGCGTGCGCCCGGAAGAGCAGGCCTGGTGAGGGGCTGTACCCAGCGTCTGAGAGGCGGAAGTGTAAGGGGCAGGGGTCCTGCCTTCTAGTCCGCCCCGGCTTGGAGTGCGCGATGCGGGCGAAGGGGAGTTGGGGTCACGGGGGAAGCTGCCGCCCGAATCCGGGCCTGGGTGCGGTTGACTTGTCTGTGTATGTGTCCAGGGAAACATGGAATACTGTCTGGCGGCCGCGGCGCTGAATGGGGTGGACCGGCGCTCGCTACAGCGCTCTGCTCGGCTGGGGAGGGAAGTATTGGAGCGCGCCAAGAGGAGGGCAGTGGACTGGCATTCTCCAGAGCGATCCAGAGGCAGCGTGGGGGTCCTTTACCGCCAGGGCCCCTACCAGGAACGATGGTCGGTCCCGGGTTCCCAGCGCCTCCTACGAGAGGTGAGGGCGGGAGCTGGGGGGGGGACTATCTAGTCACTAGTCACTCTCGACCTCCACTGGGCAGGAGGAAGCCTCCCACATCCAAAAGATGCAACCCTTCCCAGCAAAAAGTGGAAAAGCCGTTTGGAAACTTTGACCCATTTTTTTTTTTTTTACACAGTCTCATATAGCCCAGGCTGGCCTTGAACTCATGTCTACGCTTCAGGTACTAGTATTAAAGGAGTTGTGCACCAGCACGGTGTGACCCAATTCTTTTTGAGTAACAAAAGAATAGTAGTATTCCGTTTACTTATAAAATTTCTTACCGGGTGTGGTGGTGCACACCATTAATCTCAGCATCCAGGAGGCAGAAGCAGACAGATCTCTTAGTTCGAGATTAGCCTGGCCTACATAGCAAGTTTCAAGCTATCAGGTGTTACTTAGTGAGACCCTGTCTAAAGTAAATAAATACAATTTTTAGTGTGGTGCCAGAACTTGGAAGATCGGGGCTAAGAATCAAGTACAAAGTCTTCATAGTGTACATGTGACCTTGTCTCAAAAATCATAAACAACAATAACAGTTCTTTCCCACTAAATAGTAAGTAAAGCCAGCCAACCAATCATTTTAGTTCTGGATAAATTGCACGTCTAGTTTACGAAGTTAGAATTTTTTCTCAGAAAGATCATTCTTACCAGTTTCAGCTTGGAGAAGCTTTCCTAAAAATGAAAAGGGCTATTTCTCAAACGATGCCCTTCTCCAGTAGGGATTTGTAGGTCTCACCTTTGACTTGCCATTTATTAAAACAGAGAGAAGAAAGGCGCCCAACCCTTAGTGCTTCCTTCAGAACAATGGCTGAATTCATGGACTATACTTCAAGTCAATGTGGGGTAAGTTGGTGTGAATTAACACTGTGCCCCAATCTGTGCTTGGGAAGAATCAGTACCCCTCTATCCCATGACCTATAGGCCTTCATAGAAGCAGATTATAATTAGTTAATTAAGCCAGGTGGTAAATGCAACTTAGAATTCACCCAGCACGCATTGACTTTTTCCCTAAATCTTGTTGTTGAGGATACAGCCATAAACAAACCAGAAATGTTCTTCATCTTTATTTGAGTTTTCAGTTGTGTGAAGGAGTGTCGTGCTCATTTGCTGAATTCTACAGTTATTTGATTTTAGAATGTTTCCTTTTCCCTTTGAAATGAAGTTAAAATCTTCAGGATCACACCTGAATTGTTTTGTTTTCAAAGTGTGCTGAATCAAAACCTTCAAGTCTGTATGTTAGGTCTTTTAGTTTTTCTAGACAGGGTTTCTTTGTGTAGCCTTCCTTATACTGGACCTTGCCCTGTAGACCAGGCCAGCCTCACACTCACAGAGACCTACCTGCCTCTGCCTCCGGAGTACTCCAATTAAAGGCCTGTGCCACCACCACCCGTATGTTAGTATGTTAGGTCTTAACCTTCAGTGTTTGTTTCCAGTTTTCCGCTGGTATATTCCAGAATATATCAATGGGTTTATAAACAGTAGAGATGGCCATGTGAAACAGGTACAGGTGTGTGGTTTTCCTAGTGGCAGGACTTGCTTCCCATGATCAAACCATGTTCTGTAATGTTCAGCTATCCTGATGGTCGCTCTTACGCCTCACCTAGCACATGTGACCAAGCAGTGAGAGATTAGCAATGCACTTTTGGACATGAAACTTCCTTCATTGTGTTCTTTAGCCTTTAGTAAAGTTCAGATTTCTAAAGCCTCAGGCTTTATTATTGACTTCTTTGGCTTACACTGAGAGATGAATAGTAAATTATCACAACACCATGACCTCAGAGTCACCAGGTTTTACTGTGAGTGGCGATATTGGTGTACAAACTGGATGAAAAAGAATTGTTTTCACTATGTTTTTAGGCTTCAGATGTTAAGATCTGTAAACTGCCAGTCTTTCTGTGTTGTTGGAGATAAGATCTGGAGTAGCCCAGGCTGGCCTCAGACTTGCTACTTTAGAAAGCCTTGCCTTGAACTCTTGATCTCCCTGCTTCCACTTTCTGAGGCTAGAGATCATGGACGTCCACTGCCAACTTCTATCTTTTGCAAACATTCTTTAGCTTCCAAGAATAGAATTTCAACCAATGAGATACGGTTGAGAGAATATTTTTAATGTTCATATTTATCCTAGGGTGGTTATAGGACAGTCTGTACACTCAATTTTACTACAAAATGGTTAACTTAGACACTTGGTTCATGGTTAAGTCAAAGGAATCATAGTTGTCTTTGAGGCTAAGGAAACTAGTGTTCATGTAGGTTTTCAGCTGTGTTCCATTTCAGTCCTGTTATGGAATGGCACTTCAGAGTTTCTTGGCTTTTTGAAGATTTAGAAAAGTGTTCTGGGTTTGGCTCCACAATTTTAAAGCAGCCCTTAAAATGTCGTAGGTCCATGTCCTGAGTCCTTTCCCCAGCTTCTCATTCCTTTGACACTGTCCCTACAGTATGTTCCAAACAGGTTTAGGATGTCTTTATTACTCATAGTCCAGGGCAAATCTAAGGTTAACTTGGAAGAGGAAGAAGGAACTAAACAAGAAGAATGTAGCTTTCTGATCTTTTGGGTTATTCCTAAACTAGAGAGCTCTTTCCTTCCACTCCCCTGTGTGAAATCCTGGAGGAAAAGGCTGCGTGGCTTTTAGGTTTATGTTTTGTAGGTTTCTGTGTTTCTTCAACTTAAGGAAATTATTCCATTCTTCCCGCATCCTTGTCTGAGAACCTAGAAGGTAAACACAGAAGTGTAGATCTGACTCTGTCAGGTTAGGAAGTGAAAGGGTGTGTGTACTTGACATTGAAGCAAACAATAGGGTGAGAACCTTTACCCTAACAGAGAACATGTCCCGGCCTACCTGTATTCAGTTGGTCAGAGTTCTTGCCCTACAGAGGCAGCAGATGGCAGCAAAGCCATGCCAAATACAATTTCCCTGTCTCATCATCTCAGGCTTAGGCTTATGAAAAGGACAGATAATTTTACTTTTTTCTCATGCTTCCTTCCTTAACCTTACTGTGTGGAAGTATCAGAGAGTCTGAAATTTTGGCCAGAATATTTAAATGTTTTTTCACATCACTTCTCTAGAAATACTACTCGTCTATGCCAGAGGATGGAGGGGCAACCCACGTCTACCGTTATCACAGAAGGAAGCCTCCAGGAGTGTACGTGTCCTCAGACACAGGGCCCAGTCAAGAACAAGTACGTGGCTCTGCCATTCCACACAGCACCTGCATGTCTCAAGAAGTCCCTGTGGGATTCTGTGTTCTCAGCTGCCTGTGTGACTCAGCATTACTGTACCCAGCAGACGTGTCAGTTGACAGCCTCAGGGAACTCCCAGAAGTAGGAGTTGTATTTATTGCACTCTAGGATCTTCAGTTGAACCTGGACTCCTGGGCTGTGGAGTTCTTAGGCAGGCTAAGAACCACATCTTTTTGTATACATCTGGGAATACAAGAGAGGGTTGTCTTAAAGGTTTTATTTTTGAGTTAGGTGGGTAGTGCACACCTTTAATCCTAGCACGTGGGAGAGTAGCAGAGGCAGGTGGCTCTCTTGAGCTTGAGGTCAGTCTGGTCTACATGAGAATTTTAGGACATCCAAGGTGACATTGATGGCCTGAACAACTTTATTTTCAACTACATGTATACATGTGTGTCTATGTATGGGTATATGCACACGAATGCAGGTGCCCAACAAATCAAGAAGAGGGTGGGTCCACTGGAACTGAAGTTAACCGGTGGTTATGAGCCACTCAGTGTGAGCACAGGGAACCAAACATGGGTCCTCTGCTCTTAAAGAACTAGAGGCCTTTCATCATATACTCTATCTTTTAATAGGCATTGTCATTTGAAAGCTAAAAGTTTTGTTTGTTCAATGGAAGTAAGCCTTTTGGTTTTGATTAAGTCCAGATTCAAATCCCTAAATTAACCTCCTGACTTTTCTGGCCTGCTAGTCATCTCAAGGTAGTAGAGTGGAGAGGTTTTTAAAAAATGGCAGGAGTAAGCATGGGTAGATGAGTGGGCTCATTACAGGCTCCAGAACCCTTTAAGTTCCTCTCTGGGATGTGAAGAGTCTCCGGAGTCTGTGTCCTGCAATTCCCTTTCCACCCTGGCCCGAGCTCCTATGAGAGCTCTGTTCAGCTCTATTAAGTGAGGTGTGTATGTGGCAGAGTGTCATTACGCTCTCCTGTGATGTACAAAAGGGCTGCCTCTGAGGCCTTATCCTTGTTCCCTGCTGATAACACTTCTTGGAGAACCAGGAAGGGAAACTGTTGCTGAGAGTCCGATGAGTATCATGACTGTAGCGTTTCAATCTTCCCGTCCATCCAGGAGCCCCATGTTACAGTCCAGGAAACCAAGGCTGTGAATTTAGAGAACCCTGCTCATATGCAGCAGGCATGGGAATGGGTCTTAAATTTGCCAGACTCCAAAGCCTACATAAGGAAAGCATGATTAAAAATAGTTCTAAGTGTACCAAACAGATCACTAATAACAAGTGACAGATGAGAAAGGGCATACAAAATAATCCTAATAAGAAAAAAGAAAATATCTTTGCTTTCTGAAGGTCAAAGCTTATCTTAGTCCTAATCAATATTTGTCTTGACAGAGAAACTGCAGAGAAGAGACATCTGTTGGTCCAGGAAGCATCTACCAAACATCAGAGCATTCTCAAGAGTCATCTTGGCCTGTGAGCACAGAGCTAAGTGTACTGGGTTTCACCACCTTTCTATAAGCATGCTGACCCATTACTTATTGGTCTGTTTGTGTGGGCTCTATCGTGTCTTCAGATTGGAAGGCTTACACTTGAGGATCCACAAGATTGTGGTTTGGTACAAAGTGCTGTTTTCTCGGAGTCCTTTCCTTCACTGGAGATTTGAGGGATGCTCTGGGTGCCTTAGCTCATGGTTGTGGTTGGAAAGAATGTGAAGCATTCACAGCTCTCTTCCTAGGCTCAGCTGGGCTGGCCTTGGCTCCTGCTAGAATTCCACCATCTGTTAAAGCAGCAGGAGGGCCTGACCTCTGCTTGTAAAATGCAGCCATTGCTGAGATTCCAGAACGTGTACATGTGCTGATACCAGGTTCCATATCATTTGAAATGTTTCTGTGGAAGGAAAAAAAGTAGAAATAGGTAATTGTTTCACTTTCAGGGCCAAGAGGTAAGTGGTCTAGATTCTAACAAGTTTGTTTGGGACCTGGAAGAGCTGGAATTCTGAGAAAAGGAACTTGGACACATCGCTGCAATAAATCCCTTTTTGTTTGTATACAGCTTGTTACTAGCCAGGATTCAGAATATTCTAGAGTTATTAGCAACTAAAGAAATCTGCTTCTAGTACAAAAGCAAGCTGTCCGGCATGGGAGTCTCCATTGGTGCTGTTTTTGATAATTCTGATTGGCCTGTTGTTCCAGTGTAAGAGATAAGATTTTTTTTTATTGTGTATGTGTGAATACTTGTGTGTATGTGTACCACATGCGTGCTTGACACCCTCAGATCAGAAGAAGGTGTCAGGATCCCTAGAACTGGATTTATAGGGTCTTGTAAGCTACTGTCTGGGTTCTAGGATCCAAGCCTGCATCCTCTATAAGAGCAGCAAACAAGTACTCTTTACTGGTATCCTATCTCAATTAGGGTTTTACTACTGTGAACAGACACCATGACCTAGGCAAGTCTTGTAAAGACAACGTTTAATTGGGGCTGGCTTACAGATTCAGAGGTTCAGTCCATTATCATCAAAGTGGGAGCATGGCAGCATCTAGGCAGGGATGAGAGCTGAGAGTTCTACATCTTCATCTGAAGGCTGCCAGTGGAAGACTGCCAGGCAGCTAGGACTAGTATATTAAAGCCCACTCCCACAGTGACACACCTACTCCAACAAGGCCACACCTATTCCAACAAAGCCACACCTCCAAATAGTGCTACTCCCTGAGCCAAGCATATACAAACCATCACAACTGGTGAACCATCTCTGCAGCTCCTCACACAAATGCACACTTGCTCACTGCTGCCTGTATGGAGATGTACAGAGCATGTCCTTGGCTGTGATTCTGAGGCCCCTGGGTATTTTCACGGTTGATCTCTGGTAAACAGTGCCATTGCTTCCTTCCTCACATCAGTTAAATGGTATTAGACCTTTAGTTTTTCAGAAGTGGTAAGAACAAAGTAAAATTTGAAAATGTTGACCTGAAGTTTGTCTTCAAGGTAAGGTAGAATGAAAGTATAAATATTTTCATTTATTCCTGCTATAAAATTTGCTAGCCAGTCGTCTCCCATGTTTGGTGTAAAAATGACAACTCTGCCTTTGGTTCCTTCTAAACAATGAGTAGACAAGAAGTAGCAACAGCAATCCAGATGCATTTTTTTTCCTTTGAGACAGGCCCTGGCTAGCTTGAAACTCTGAGTAGATCAGACTAGCCTTGAACTCACAGAGATCCACCTGCTCCTTTCTCCCAAGTGCTGCAATTAAAAATGTGTACCACCATGGCTGGCTCAACCCAGATGCATTTGGACTCTTACTCGCTCTCTCCTGGTTTGTGACTTTGCTTTTTTGCCCTGTGAACAAAGGCCACGCCCTGCCAATGCACCTGCCCTGAGCCAGGTATGAACTAGTCCTGGATGATGGTTTGTACTCAGTTCAGCTCTGAGTACAGTCTCGCCAACTCCAGCTTTCAGGGCTCTGCAACATCAAAAGCCCATCTTCCAAGGAAGTGCTTCAGTGACAGAAGGCATCCATTCATATTATTAGCTTTAGGAGAAAAACAGTGTCTCTTCTCAAGGAAGTCTAACAAAACATGACTAAAAAGAGTCATTCTTATTGTTCCAACAGACCTTGCCAGTCTCTATTCATAGGTACCATTTTCTTCTTCTGATACCCAAGCAGCATCGCTTACACTTCACCCAGGGTCCTCGCCATCTTCTTTTTTGTTTTGTTTTTTGTTTGTTTGTTTTTGTTTGTGATGTTTTTTAAAGTCAGGGTCTTTTTTTTTTTTTTTTTTTTTTTTTTTTTTGGTAACTCTGGCTGTCCTGGAACTCTGTATATAAAACAGGTTATCCTCAAACTCACAGAGATCCTACTGCCTCTGTCTCCAGAGGGTATGAGCAGCCTCAGCTGTGAGATGGTCTTATAATTCTGCATCTTCCTATAACACTCTGTCTTGTACAAAGTTCTCACAAGCTTGCTCATCAGGTAGGTAGTTTCACAGATTTAGAAAGAAGGCAATGAGCATAAAGGCAGACAGTCACCAAAACAAGTTTTTTTGTTTTGTTTTTTTCTTTTTATTATGTGACCAAACTGGGCCTTGAAAGCAGGACCCCTTATCTGTGTATTTGCCCCACTTCTGGCATACGAAGGCAGCCTGGTGGAGATGCTAAAATGGCCCTGAGATCTGTCTTTAAACCACATTACCTCTTTTCCTTCCAGACTGAGAACAACTCTAAGGACCTCTACATAGAAGTCTATCCAGGGACCTATTCTGTCACTGTGGGCTCCAATGCCTTAACCAAGAAGACGCATGTGGTTGCAGTTGATTCGGGGCAAAGTGTGGACTTGGTCTTCCACGTATGATGTTGACCATCGCTACCGTCATTTCACTCTTTAACAAGAAGAATAAAACCACCCTATAACTGTCTTAATAATGATGCATCAATCTTGATTTTAATGCTGGCTGTAGTGTAATGCAGCCTTTCTGTACTGGAGTCTATCTCTTTCAAGCTCGTTTTAACCTGAAATTATAGAAGTTCCCCATCCTTGTGTGCCTGAAAACAATAATGTAATGGTGCTGTCTAAACAGCTTTTACTGCTGGCTTTCCAAGTAAGTGTTAATTATGGTAATAAAGGGAGAGATTGGAAATAAAAAGAATTCATTTTATTGGTATTAAAAAGAAAAGACAGTGTTTCCTATGTACACATGTAGGCTTTATGAGAAGACAGTACACATGGGATGCACTTGCCCAAAGCGATGGGCACACCTGTCTCTTCTGCGAATAGGCATCCTAAGCAGGTCATAGGCCACTGATGGAGTTCCAGTGCAGGACCACCAGCTTCTGTGCCCCTCACAACAGGTTCTTCTGAATGCCGCTTCCCTGCAGGCCTCAGGAGAGCAATTGCTCTTAGGCACTCCTGCCCACCACCACTCAGCCCCCTCCTGTTCCGTTGTCAACTACTCTTTGTCACTCCTTTTCAAGTGTTTATTTCATGATCCTTTAACTTCCTGTAAGAGAAAAATCTAAATTCATATATGCTGACTGTAATTTTAAAGATTTTTGCTTTTTAAGATGAGACAGGCCGGGCGGTGGTGGTGCACGCCTTTGATCCCAGCACTTGGGAGGCAGAGGCAGGCAGATTTCTGATTTTGAAACCAGCGTGGTCTACAGAGCGAGTTCCAGGACAGCCAGGACTACACAGAGAGACTCTGTCTCGAAAAACAAACAAACAAACAAAAAAAAAAGATGAGACAGAATCTCACAGTGTAGTAGCAGACTGGCCTAGTACACACTGTGTCATCTAGGCTGGCTTCATCCTGTCTCAGCTTCCCAAATCTTGGTATTTACAGGCATGAGCCACAATGCCTGGTTTTCTTTCTAAGATTATTTCTATGTGTGCGAGTGTTTTACCTAAATGTATGTGTACCACTTGTGTTCCTGGTTACCCATGGTGGCCAGGACATGGTTGCAAGTTGCCATATGAGTGCTGGAACCAAACCTGGGTCCTCTGCAAGAGCAACAAATGCTCTTAACCAATGAGTCATCTCCATTTGCACCTGTGGCTCAAGAGTCCAGAAGGAGGAATCTGATCCCATGGAGTTGGAGTCACAGGTGCTTGTGAACTGCCTGACTTGGGTGCTGGGAACATTTTAGGGATCCTTGCATATACTCCTGGAAGCCTGGGATGAACTTTGTGGGTCCTGAATGTCTTCTGACATAGGCAAAACAGTGGGCATGTGTGGTTTTCTGGAAAGGAGCCATAGCTTTACCCTTCTCAAACAGAATAGACCCCAGAAAGAACTACTTAAGGGTTCCTCCAGAGCCCTGTCTAGACATTTTGCTTTGGTTGTCCAGATGCCCTGACCTCATTGATGGTGTTCAGCTTCTGGTTAAGTTCACCATGGTTTCACATTGGTAGCTTCCAGAGCTAGCTCCTAGGTATCTTATTGTGACAACGTCATATTCCTAAACCCAAGATCAGTTAGTGGGATCAGTGTCGGAGACAACAGTAGGTAGCAGCTTTTCTTTTTCTAGCTAGTGTCCTTGTAAGGGAATGCATAGAGACATGTCCAGAGGGCAGAGGACCCACAAACCAGTGGATCTTTGGATCTTGACAGACTTATATCAAGTACTGTCTGATGGAGTACTAGTACTCAGTACTGATTAAATATCAATTATATTTTGAAGTCAAGCATATAATTTCCTTACAAGGACACAAAGCTGGAAAGGAAAAAGCTCTGTCACCTGCTGTTGTCTCCAGCTCTGGCTCACACATGGCTTTATACATATGAGTCATCTTTGCCACTTGACTGTGACAGACAGTACTGTATCTGCATGGTGGCTTCCACCTATAATCCTAGAAGCAGGTTAGTCTGGGCTACATAACCAGACTCTGTCAAAACTGCTGAGACAGCAAAAACAACAGGGGATGGAATTTCTCAGGACTAGGTATAAAAAGGAAGAAAGAGCTGGGGATGGCTCTTTCCCCACAATCCATCTAGAATATTCTCTATGTAGATTTAGAATATTCCTAATGATGCCCTATGGGCCAGCTCCAGAAATTAATCTTTTCCTGAGATGCAACAAAACACCCAGGACCCAAAGGAAACATACATATATATATGGTTCTTTAAATTTGAGAACAGCCTGGTTCTACATTGTGAATTCTAGAATAGCTGGAACTATATCTTGAAAAATGAAACAACAACAAAAGGACTCATTTATATTTATGTATATGTGTTTATACCTGTGTGGGTATATGCCATGTGTGTATAAGTGCCTGTGGAGGCCAGAACAGGGTATCAGATCCCCTGGAGCTGGAGTAGCAGATAATTGTGAGCTGCCCTGTGCATGCTGGGCACAGAACTCTGCTTCTCAGGAAGAGCAATAAGCGCAGGGTTTATCTGTAGTCCTGGAACTTACTCTGTAGACCAGGCTGGCCTTGAACTCAGGGTGACCGGTCTCTGCCTCCCAAGAGCTGGGATTAAAGGCATGGGGCACCACAACCCAACTTTTTTAAAAAGAAGAAAGAAAGAAAGAAAGAAAGAAAGAAAGAAAGAAAGAAAGAAAGAAAGAAGGAAAGAAGGAAAGAAGGAAAGAAGGAAAGAAGGAAAGAAGGAAAGAAAAAAGATATCTCGAATAGACTAGACCTGCCCTAACTTGTCCCCAACCCTGGGGTGTAGGGGAGTCACCTAAAAAAGTGGAAACAAGATCTCAACTTCCTGGAACTGAAGACTTACTTCTGTGGTGAGAGTAAACTGTTCATAGGCTCAATAATCCTTTTGGCTAAGTAGCTGTTCTAGCAACAAGCCAATGGCTTCAAATAAGGACTTTCAGTGGGTCTCAGTTTGCACAGTGCCTAGAGGCCCTTAAGCCTGTAGCCCTGGTGTTCTCAACTCTTAGAGCATAGTATGCCTACCACAAACCCTCCTCAGTGGGCCAGTGACAACAGGCCTCCAACATCAAACCCAGGCCGTGCTTTTCCAGTCCACCTGCTTCATACAGCTCTGTCAGCTCACCTAGACTTCTGCTCTTTGTGCAATCTGATAGGAACTTAGAAAGGACAGGTATGAGGCAGAAAATAACACATCTTCAACCCACCAAGGTGTGCTTCATAGTCCTCAGCTCAAGGTGAAGCTAGGGGTGGCCACAGTATCTGTTAAGTGTAAAATGAGCAGCAAAATATGGTGCTCCCCCGCTCTTACTGAAGGGCCCATGTGGACAGTACAACCTAATTACCAACATTTAAGGTCCAGTTTCTACACTTGCTCGGGTCTTGACTCTCATCAACACCTGGAAGCGGTGTCCTTTTAGCAGATGTGAAGACAGAAAAGGGAAGATATAACTATGGATGCTGGTAGATTAATTGCCTAGTATTCGTGATGGCCTGGGCTCTCTCTACCTAGGAACCACATAAACCTGACATGCCTGTAATCCCTGCCCTCAGGAGGAGAGGTAGGAGGATCAGGAATTCAGAGTCATCTTTGACTGTTTAGTAAGTTCAAAGGCAGCTTGCCCTACAGGAGACCCTGTCTCAAAAAAGAGGAAGATATTAAATAGACCTACAGATCAGAGCACAAAGATCAACCAATCGGTCCTTTCTTATTCATGCGGAAGTTACCATTTCCCTCATCTGACAGTGGGGGACTACACATAGCTAGCTTTCTATACATTAATTACATCCAAGCCCACCAGGGTGTACCTGATTCTCAAAGACCCATGCAGCCCCTAGCCCCCACCAGGGACGCTAGCGTCACACCCCTGGTATAACATACCTGGCTTTCCAGGGGGCGGCTCAGGCCCATTTCTCCTCCAGTATCTCCACTGGGGCTTGTGGGGGCAGCACTGCCGCAGAGACGGCTCAGAAAGGATCGGGTCAGTGTTGACTGCCCTGCTTACCATCTGTCTCTGGGGCAGTCCCATCTCCAGAAGACTCTCTGAATTTTCTCCCTCAGAGGAGGAGAAAGAGCACATATTGTAGCTGAACGCTGCTACTGCCTCCTCTTTGGGACCTTGTAGGGGCAAAAGCTGAGCTGTGGATTCTGGCTTCTCTGGCTCTGAGGATTTTCTGGTTATGAGCTCTGAGGTCCTAGCCAGAGGCCACCAGCTAGGCCCCACCACAGGGCAGCTGCTCTGACACTGAAGCTGGCAGTGGACACAGGAAAGACAAGGAGGGCATAAGAAGGACGAGTTCAGAGGATGCCTGTGTGTGGTGCATCCAGTGCCGGATCCCAGCTGGGAGCAGTGAGATGCCCAGAGACAAGAGCTGAGCCAGCCCCTGGTGGGAGGTGTTTGTAGTCTCTCCACAGCCTTCTTCCAGACTGTCGGGGGCACGCACTTGACCCTGTCTAGAGGCACCTTAGTTGTCTTGCCATTCCAGAAGTGAACAGTGATTTCTTCTTTAGATGCTATGAATAGAAAAGAGAGACATTTCTTTCTTAATTCCTGGCTTTTTGGAATCCCCAGAGCCAAAGCCTCAGCTCCAACCCTCTCTTCTTTCTGGATTGCCATTGCCACTGTGCCCAGAGAGCCTGTGGGAATGTCTCCCTCTCTCGTACCTCACTGACTATCAATTCTGGATGATTTACTGGTGCCTTCTTGTTTCCTCAGCTAAAGATGACATGGAGGGCCTAGATTTCATGCAGAACCAAAATGTAGCCTCAGCAGAAACTGTGCTATTTAGCTGGCTCAAGAGGCTTGCCAGTCCCTGGAGGACTTGGAGAATAACGGGAGAGGAGTCTTCCATGATTCTAAAATACCTTCACCACCACTACCACATACAACGATGTTTTTGTTTGATTTATTGGTTTGAGTTTTGAGACAGGTCTCACTATGTAGCCCTAGCTGACTTCAGATTCATTATCCTCCTGCTTCAGACTACTGAATGCTGGGATTACACACACATACACACACACACACACACACACAGAAACACACACAACATCACACCCAGCTAGCTCATGCTATGGTTTAGGTGATCAACAGACGTGGTAATTTTAGGTTGTTTCCCTTGATTTTATTTTATACTATTTTGTTTCTTGCTTTGTTTCCTAATATTTTTATTAATTTTTATCCTATGTGTACAACTGCTTTGCCTGGATATATGTAGGTATACCACATTCATACATAGAGCTCAGGGAGGCCAAAAGAGGATATTGGATTCACTGGAATTGGAGTTACAGAAGGATGTGAGCTTTCATGTGGGTGCTGGGAACTGAACCTAGGGCCTTTGCAAAGAGAGCCAGTGCTGTTAACTACTGAACCATCTCTCCTGCCCCCACTTTTTGTTTTTCGTGTTTGGTTTTGTTTGGGGGGAGGTTGTTTGTTTTGTTTTTTGGTTTTGTTTTTTGTGTTTTTGGTTGTTTTGTTTGAAAAACTCTTACTCTATACCTAGTCTGCCTTCAAATTTGCAGCAATCCTCCTGGCTCAGCTTCTAAGTGCTAGGCTACCATTATAGGCATAAGCCACCATGCCAGTGTCTGTCCTCCCTGATACTAAACATTTCATATAGCCTGGAAGATAGGACTGGCTCAGCCATCACTGCAGGAGAAGGCCACCAGGAATGGTGGAAGGGCTCTTTTTGCTGTGGTTCTAAGACCCCTGAGCTTTGACCACCAACTGTGCGTCTCCCTCCCCACCCCATGACACACCTCCCCCAGGGTCATGGCAGCTCCCTTACCTCTTTGTCCTTTTTGTTTCTTCAAGCCCAGGAGAACAGTGCCCGGGCCATACTGCTGCTGCTCTGGTTCCCAGGGTGCAAGCACCTTATCGCCCAGTTGCAGTGAGTGTGGCACAGATGGTGAGAACTGAATGACATCCTCTGGAAATACCACTCTCCGCTCCTGGACTGGCAGGTTTAGGCCTGAGACAAGGGGAGCCTCGAATTCCACAACCAGGGCCCCCCGCTTCTCCAGCTAGAAAATAGAATAAAATTTAACATTAGGGCTTAGAGAGATGCTTCATAATTAAGAGCGCCGGCTGCTCTTGCAGAGGACTGGAGTTTGGTTCCCAGCACTCACAATGGAGGCTCTAAATCTATATTATCTATAATTCCAGTTCCAGGGTCTCTGACACCCTTTTCTGGCCTCTGTAGCCACCAGGCACATGCATGCTGCACACACATACCTACATGCAGGCTGTCTTAGATACTTTTATAATGCTTTGATAAAATACTATGACCAAGGCAAGTTATAGAAAGGATTTATTTGGGGCTTAGTTTCAGAGGGTTAGCGCCCATGGCCGTCATGGTGGGGGGCATGGCAGCAGACAGGCAAGCAGGCATGGTGCTGAAGCAGTCACCTACTTCTTACATCTTGGTCCACAGGTACAAGTCGGAAAGAGCTGAGAATGCATTGCCTTTTGAAACCTCAAACACAGCCCCACCTCCACCATGAGACACCTCCAACAAGGCCGGACCTTCTAAAATCTTTCCCAAACCGTTCCACCAACTGAGGACCAAGCATTCAAACATGTGAGCCTATAGGGGCCATTCTCATTCAAACCATTACACAAAGTACTCATACACATAAAATCTTAAAAAGAAAAAAGCATCTGAAATACAACAGAGGAATAGACTATGGTAATGTATACTTTTCATCTCAGCACAGGGGAGGTTGAGGCAGGAGAATTGCTTTTGAGTTTAGAGACAGCCTGGGGTTTGTACTAGGTTCCAGGGCATGTTGAGCTACGTATCAAGTGTTAGAGCAGTTGAGGCTACAGACTGAGACCTTGTTTGTTTGTTTTTGTTTGTTTGTTTGTTTGTTTTGTTTGTCTTTTTTTTTTTAAGATGGGGCAAGCAAAATGTCTATGTGGGGAAAGTTGCTTGCAGCCAAACCTGACTACCTGAGTTTGATTCCTAGGACCCACAACTGGGAGAACTGATTCCCCAAGTTGTCCCACCCATGTCATCGAACATATACACACATAAGCACACACACACATGAAACCATATTCACAAAGTCCGACTCCTAAAAAAAAAAGTACTGGAACTGGGGACATAGCAGAGAGCATACCTAGTATGTGCAAGACCCTGGGTTCCATCCCCAGCACTGCATAAAGCAAGCATGTTCTAAGAACACTTGCTACTCTCGCAGATCCCAGGTTTGATTCCTTGCTCTCTCTCCTGTTAAGGAGGGATTTGATGACCTCTTCTGGCCTCTGTTGGCATTACATGCACATGGTACACTTACACTCACGCAGACAAAATACTCACATAAAATTAAAATAAAACTGATTTTAGAAAGAGAAGTCCAAAAGAAGTAAGTTGCCACTGAAGTAGAGCCTAGGCCTGGCTCCTGGCATTTCAGGAACAAAATTTTATGTGTGAGAGCAAATGTGCTCACATATGGGAAGTACATCCTCATTCTTCCTCTGAGGCTCAGGTCCATAATTCAACACACCGGATCTCCCTGAACAACAAATGTATATTTTTCTTGCTGTTAAGAGATGAATTGTGTTTCTGCTTCTGCAGGTTAATATATTCAACTTGGTCCCAGTACCTCAGCCTGTGATCTCTTTTTAGGAATCAGGCCATTGCAGGTATAATTAGTTAAGATCAGTGGGCATGGCAGGCCCTTAATCTGACTGATGTCTTTATGCCAAGAGGAAATTTAAGGGGCTGGAGGGATGGCTCAGTGGTTAAGCACACTCACTGCTCTTGTAGAGGACTCGGGTTCAGATCCCAGCACCCACAGCAGCTCACAATCACCTGTAGGTCCAGCTTCAGGAGATCCAATACCTTCTTCTGGCCTATGCACATATAAGTACACAGTGACTCATAAATAAAAATATTTGAGAAAAGGAGGAAATTTGAATAGAGTAATATCCAGAGGCAAAGCCATGCTAAGTTGAAGGCAGAGACCAGGGTGATACTTCTGCAAACTAAGGAAACCCCCAAGATTTTGAGCAAATACTGAAAATTACATGACTTGGCTGGAAACAGACTCTTCCTTGTAGCCTTTAGAAAGAACCCACCTTGAAACACCTGACTTATGGCCCCAAGAAATGGGAGAGAATAGGTTTCTGTCATTGAAGCCATTCATTTTGTGTGGCACTTCGCCACATAGCTGTAGCAACTTAGCTCCAAAACCAGACTTCTGAACGTACACAGATAAGACACATCAGGTGCAACAAGCCCATCAGAGGAGTGTGTGGTGAGCTGATGGGGAGAAGGACTTGCCTCCGGAGCAGCCTTTATCTGAGCCAGATAATAAAAGCCATCCGGTTCCTTTCTGGCCAGGACCCAGGAGCCAGCAGCATCTCCAACTCTTCCCAGCCAGCTGAGCCCAGTCCATGGCCTATTAACAGTGTAAAAGCATGGACAACAGGAGGCACACCTGGGAAAAGCAAAGGAGATCAGGGGTGAACACAAAACCAAGGGACCATAGAATGGCTCAGAGGGTAAATGTGCTGGCCACCAAGCCTGATGGTCTGAGTTCAATCCCCAGATTCCACATTATGGAAGGAGAACCTGACTCCTGTGGGTTGTCCTCTGACCACTGTGTGAGCTATAGTGTGTGTCCTCACCTGGATAAATACACGAGTGTAAAATAAGATAAAGACAGTAAGAACCACGCCTCTGGAGCAGATCTGAGGAGACTCACCACGTGAGGATGGTAAGGGTGTGAGAGGGAGAATGTGGCAAGCTTTGACTTCTGGAGTTAGCAGAAACTGAAGGCCATAGAAGGAAGTTTTGAGACTGGACATTGTTTCACAGTGACAAAAATGAAATCAGATGGTATACTCCTGTTAACGCTTGAAAGAGGAGCTGGGACATTATGGGATGCTGGGATGAGGTTAACAAAGGGACCAGGGAACCAAACTGTAAGGAACTTGGCTCAAGGGGTCTGATGGGTATGGACGCGCAGAGGAGGTCATGAAGGGGCTGAGAAGTAGTGGAAGGCGAGGCCATTTCTGGGGATCCAGTGACAGGGCTCTCTGGCCTGGGGCAGTAGCAGAATTAGAAATCAGACCTTTGTGGTGTGGTGTGGTGTGGTGTGGTGTGGTGTGGTGTGGTGTGGTGTGGTGTGGTGTGGTTCGGTTCAGTTTGGTTTGGTTTGGTTTGGTTCTGTTTGGTTCAGTTCAGCTATCCTAGAACTCGTTGTGTAGACAAGGCTGGCATCAAACTCAAAGAATTGCCTACTTCTGTCAGAGTTAAAGTGCAGGGACTAATGGTATGTGCCACCACAGCCCAGCTTTTTTTTTTTTTTTTAAATTCAAATATTTATTGTTGCTTTTTGGAGTGTATGTATTTAGATTTGCTGGAGCTAGAGTTACAGGCATTTGTGAACCACTTGATATGGATGCTAAGAACTGAAGCCAGGTCATCTGGGACAGCAGTATGCACTGTTAACTGCAGAGTAATCTCTCCAGCCCAAGAGGGTCTGGGTTTTTGAAAACGCTGTTCTGTACAAAAACCTGAATATAAAGATATTTAACTTGGCCTTGAGCAAGGCGATCCAAACAAATAAATAAGACCTTGAGCAACGTATTGGAGAGATGGGTCAGTGGTTAAGAGCACTTGTTCTAGCAGAGGACCAAGATTTAGTTCCCAGTACCCGCGTGGCTGCTAACAATCTTCTGTCTGTAACTCTAGTTCTAGCAGATCTACTTCCCTCTTGTGGCCTCTTCAGGTACTGCATGCATGTAGTGCAACGACTTTTTTTTGTTTGTTTGTTTTTGTTTTTTGTTTTTTTTTGTTTTTTTTTTTTTTTTTAGTGCAACGACTTAATGCAGGCGAAACACCCATAAACTTAAATAAAAAAATTAAGTTTATGGACTGGTGTGCCCCTATTCCAGGCAGTCTGGTTCCTAGAAATTGCTACAGGCTGAAGTTCTTTTGTCCCCTCCTAGTCACACTTTAGAGAGCTGACTGAAGATGCTGTTCTGGGAAATCCCAGGCATTTAGTGCTATTAGGACCAGGAAAAGAGGAGAAAGGAAGGACGAGGGACAGAGGCTGGTACCTGGTGAATGTGCAGCATGTGGCCAGCCAGGGTGCTTGTGTGGCAAAGGGACAGGTGAAGGACTGGTTCCAGGGTGGCACAGCACCATGCAGTTCAGGGGCTTTCACAGTTGTGGCCACACTGCAGTATTTGGGCAGAGGCAGGCCAGGCCTGGCAGAGGGCTGCATGGCCTTCAGAGTGCCCACCTAGAGCAGACACAGGCATCACAGCTGTAGCCTCAGTCCAACAGAGGACACACTCCAGGGTTCCCACACACATCCAGAGTTTCCCCTTTGGAGTACTTATCTCAGAATGCCCCTGGGGAACTAGGGAGGGCTGAAGAACTTAAGCTAGGATCTTAGAGAAAGCCCCCTTTAATCCTCCTTCAGAAGCTGCGCCCTCAATGTCTGTTACCTCTCCAAAGATGAGCCACGGGAACCACCTGGCGGCTCAGCTCCAGTTGGTTTTACCTCCTACCTCCTCCCCAGTGGCTGGAACTCCGTGGAGCATGCCCATTCTTTTACACACCCTGCCCTGACCAACTGACCCCCAGCAGAAGCCACCAACTCCCCTCCTAATCTGGTCACCTACAGGTCTCAGAACCATGCCATTTATGGACTTCTTCAGAGGTAGCAGCTGCCACCTAAGACTTGTTAGGGTCTTCCCCTGCTCAAAGCCACAGGTCAAATCCCAAAGGGACTTACCTAAAAGTGCAAATCTGGCCTAGACCTCAGCCTTGTCCCAGTCTCTGTCTCATCTGACAGTCGGAGCTCATGGCCTTGGTCCAACAACTCTTGGTTGCCAGGCAGGTTGCCAAGCAAGTCGCTATGGATGTGACCCAGCAGGCTACAACAGGGCTCAGGAAGGTACTGAGCATGTGCACAGGGTGACCGGAAACATCAGGAAACTTGGTGTTGTGGGTAAGGTGGAGAAATAAGGGCAAACTTTGTATTCTCCCTTTATCTCCAGGGATTCTAGGGGAGTCCTGTGAGAGCATGCTCTCCAAAGGCTGAGGGCTGTCAGCATCTACCTAATGAAGGCAAAGACTTGGGGCTAGAAAGATAGTTGAGTAGATAAGCTGCTTGCTATGCAAGCAAGAAGACTTGTGTTTGGATCTGCAGCACACACTGACTGAGTTTATAATCCTAATAGAAAGAGCTTAATGGGGGCTGGAGAGATGGCTCAGTGGTTAAGAGCACTGATTGCACTTCCAGAGGTCCTGAGTTCAAATCCCAGCAACCACATGGTGGCTCACAACTATCTGTAATGAGATCTGATGCCCTCTTCTGGTGTGTCTGAAGACAGCTACAGTGTATTCATATATAATAAAATAAATCTTTAAAAAAAAAAGAAAGAAAGAGCTTAATGGACAAACTAGTTAGCCAAAACTAGGGAGCTCTGGGTTCAATGAGAGAGCCTATCTCAGATAATAATAATGATGGTGATGATAATAATAATAATAACAATAGGGAGAGCAACTGAGGAAGATTCCTTAGAGCCTCTACAGGCCCATGCATCACACACACACACACACACACACACACACAGAGCAAAGGTATGGGAGTGTTTGTAACTGCCGGGAACTCACGATCCTAAGGAATAGAGGTATGTGAGCTGTAGAAGTGCCAGAAACAGACTGGTGACAAAGGAACTGGAGTCCAGATTCTTTGGAGCTGGAGAGATGACTTAGTGATTAAGAGCATTGGCTGCTTTTCCAGAGGATGTGGGTTCGATTCCCAGCACCCACATGGTAGCTCACACTGTAACTCCAGTTTCAGGGGATCCGACACCCTTGCATAGACACACATGCAGGCAAAATACCAATACACATTCGATAAATAAATTGTTACCCACAGAAGACTGGTATTTTGAGACAGTCATGGTGCCCTGAAGAAACGCCTGGCACTGTGCTCAATAGAGAAGACCCCCCCAAAAATGTATAGGACATGTATGGGTGTCTCTCCCTCAACCATTACCCCCTCCCACTAGTTCCTGTTTTGAACCATGGATCCATGTGCATATCGGCCAAATGTACCCCAACTCCCAGGTGAGTAGTGTCATTCGGGACACCCCTATCCCTTGAAGGCAGGGGTTCAGTAGTCTTGAGCCACTGGCTTCAAAATGAGTCTCAAAACTGTCCCTGAGAATCTTGTGTACAGACTTTCTTCTTCCTGTGCAGGAAGAATAAGGAGGTATTCAATTCTAGAAGATTCTGGTAACTATTTCCTGAGAAAGTAATACAGACTTGGGGTCTTAGGCATTCGAGCTCAAGCAGCTGCTGCCCCCCCCCCCCAGTGTATCCTGATTTAAGAAGTTGGTCACTTATTTTTACTTCACGTGTATGACTGTTCTGCCTTCATGGATGGATGTGCATTGTAGGCATTGCCTGGTGCCTGCAGAAGCCAGAGGAGGGTTTGGATCCATTCCCCTGGAACTGGATTTATAGAGAGTCGTGAGTCTGATCAAGGTGGGAAACAAACCTGGGTCCTCTGAAAGAGCAAGTACTCTTAACCACCTGGTCATCTCTCCAGCTCTGTGTTCTCTCTGTTTACATAAAACTTCTTGGAGGAGAGAACACATTCAGAGAGACAGAAACAGACAGACAGACACGAACACACACGGAGAGAGAGATTTTAAAATGGCCAGTTGTTGGAGTGTTCAGCCCTTCAGTTACATGGGGAATACATCCTCTGTATTGGTTGTAACACTTTGGGTTGAGTTTTCTCTGTCAAGTCAGAGTACTTTGATGATGCTCTCAAAGTTAGTTTTGTAATCACCAGAATGACTGTGGTCCAGACACATGAGAATGAGTCTGAGAAAGACTAACGGAGACTGACAGCCAGAAAGGATTACTGATTGAGAACTGGGGATTTCAACGGTGGAAGGAAGGGAAAATATTCCAGGTTAGAATGGAAGAGTAAAGAGAGTCAGATGCGTTTGCAAGACTGTGATCTCCTGTGGGAATATCAGAGTACAGGGAGCTTTGAGAGCCAAGTGGAGCCAGGCACTGTGGCATATGCCTTTAATACAGGACTCTGGAGGCTCTGGTAGGTGAGTTAGAATCCAGCCAGAGCTATGTAATGAGAACTACAAAACAAAAAAACACAAAGTCAATGAGGGCATTTAAGGGTAGTCATCCAGAGGAAATCATCAGATAGTTTGAGCAACAATGCTTCAAGAATTTCACACACATGTACACACATTGACTTACAGGGACATACACATCACACACACACACACACACCCCATTCACAAAGAGATAAAGAAAAGACTTCAAAATGAGGGTAGAGCCCTCTCACAGGAGTCCAGGATGAGAGTTAATGGTGGGTCTGACACGACTGACAGGACTGGTACAGGAATAGGAAAAGATTATCAGTAAATATTTCCAGCACTTCAGGATTGGAAGACTATGGGCTAAATAAGACTGGTGGCTGTCTCTCAGAAAACTGAGTTGGGTGTGTGCTGTATGTGAAGACAGCAGGCTAGGAACCCAAAGACAGACATGTGATCACAGTCTAGGAGCAGTAACGCCTGGGACAGGAAGGTGGGAAAGACATCACAGAGATAAATGACAGCAGAGATCAGTGTGACAGACAGAAGGAGGGAAGTCTCAACATCCTGCCTGGGCTTAGTGACGGTTGGAACCTGGAAGTTGAGGGAGAAGGAAGGGCAGAAGGTAGCTATGAAGACAGAGGCATGGATGCTCGTTCCAGGAGTGACGGAAGGTCCCACAGAGCACCGGAAGATGCCCTGACACGGACAAGACTGGACAGTGGTGATATTGCGCACTATACAAGGATGAAGACAGTATAACAAGCAGCCATCATGAATCCTGATTACATGTCAGGCACGATAATTCCCTGAATAAACTCATGGGAAATTGCTGTTGTTATTTTCTTCATTTTGTGGATGAAGAACCCAACATGGAGAGGAAGTGAAACTTCAAACTGAACAATTTGACTCCAGAACCTTGTTTTTGGATTTTTTTTTGCCCCCTCCATTTTCATGTGCATGTGAAATGCATGTGTGTATAAGTATGTTCCCATATGCATGGTCACATACCTTATTCATTGAGTTAAGGTCTCTCAGTCAAACCCAGAACTTTCCCATATGTTAGTTAGCCTTAGTAGCCTGCTTGCTCTGGAGATCCCCAGCCTCCACCTTCAGAGGCTGGATTTACAGGTAGGCTATCACACCCACCTGGCATCTACATGGAATGCTGGAGACCTGACCTCTGTTTGCCTGCTTGCCTAGTGAGTGCTTAATCGCTTGAGTCATCTTCCCAGCTAGTCCCAGAGGCTTGGAAAGCATTTTGCTAAACTGCTTAGAGAAACAAGCAGTTTACCTATCTGCAAGAAAAAAGATGCATTTAAATTAATTCCAAATCAAGGGAAGTGTGTGGTGATCGCTTAGCACAAAGTGGTTGCCAAGTGCAAGACAATCTCTGAGTAGTCAGTCTTCAGATTTCTGTACTTTGGAGAGAGCACCGAGGCTGTGGGAAGTGCTCTGGAGAACCAGGGGACTCATACCCTTATCTCAGAGAGTCCAGCACGGGATTCTTATCTCAGAGAGTCCAGCACGGGATTCTCAGTCTGCATAAAATACCTTGTACTTCTGAAACCCAGGTAAGCAACATTTAATGAAGGTTGGTATTGGGGGTACTGTTGTGTCCTCGAAATCACGTGTATGAGAATCTACTGGCTATTGCTGCTGAATTTGGAGAACTGACTCAAATGACTCTCAGAGCCGGATCCAGGGAGCCGCAGCTGGTTGCTCGAGGGTTCCTCTTGGTCTCAGTCTCATCCGGGTACAAGAGAGACTGCAGGTAGCTGATATACCTGATGGCAGCTCTGAGGGTCTCCACTTTGCTGAGTCGTTTCTCCAGGTAGTCCTCTGGAAGGTGCCGCCGCAGACGGGCGTAGCCTTCGTTCACACACTTGACTCGCTGCCTCTCTCGTTCATTCCTCTTGCGGATGAAGGCGGGCCCATAGGTGTAGTCACAGCGCCTGTAGTTGGTGTAAGGCATGGGGAAGGGGAAGGGGTATGGGTCCCCGTAATTGTTCATGATCAGGGTATCGCTGGAAAAGGGCAGCAGAGGCAGCTCGTCCGTGTAAGGAGTCGGCACCGGGGCTTCAGGGCATAGGTGGACAGTAACCATGGGGTCCAGGTAGAAAGGCCTGGACAGTGGTAAGTGGGCAGACTCAGCGAAGACCGAGAGCCTGTCTGGAGGGCTAGGGTAGCTTCTGGTGTCCATCGTTTTTTCTTTCACCTAGAGACACGGGAGTCAGTTTGGCCAGATTAAAAGAGCAGTTTTGATCTACTTTCTTAGAGATCCAGGTCTTATAGACTTCTGCTTAGGACTCATATAGAAAAGTAGACAGGGTTATAGTCATTTGTGTACAGTCACTGGGGTGGCAGGGACTTGTAACTCCAGCACTCAAGAGGATGAAGCAGGAGGATAGCTTTGAGTTCAAGGGTAGTCTGGGCTATATAGTGAAACTGTCTCAAAAGAAAAACATTATCACTAACAACAAGAAGAGAGAAAGAAAAAAGAAAGAGAGAGAGAGAGAGAAAAGGAGAGAGAGAGAGAGAGAGAGAGAGAGAGAAAATGTGGAAAGGAGAGGATTTTATATCTTTTCTTGATCAAAAATGTTATTCTCTCTCTCTCTCTCTCTCTCTCTCTCTGTGTGTGTGTGTGTGTGTGTATGTGTGTGTGTGTGTGTGTGTGTGTGATGCTGGAGGCAC